AGGCCTTGAAGAGACAGTCCTGTTTGTAAATCTCAAATTTTACCATTATCTAAATCATCCTCTACTCTAGCCTCTGAGAATTACTGGAGATAAATCACCAAAATGGTACCTCTAGAAATATTAGCTTTCAATTCTGATCTCAGAACTCAGTCTTCCCTTCAAAAGTACCCCCAAGCTGCTCCTTCTTCCACTCAACCCAAGAAACATTCAAAAAAATTAGATTTAAGATTTTTACACTACTGTCAACTGCTCAATAAGCTACTGAGCAGAGGATTAACCATGAAGAGGGGTTTCTATCTACTCCCCCCCCCCCCGCTTACCTCTCATTTTAGTTTCTTAACATCTGTCTTAACCTCTTTTTGTTTTAATAAATGGTGTGTTAAGGTTAATATTTGTCTCAAACTTCAGAAATTTCCTTCTAAAATTTAGAATTGGGGCAGGCATCTGGCATTGCTGGTTAAACCATCATTTGAAATGCTTGCATCCCATATCTGAGTGCCTAGGATCAAGTCCAGGATCTCCTACTTCCAATCCAGATTCCCGATAATGTACCGTGGAGGCAAAAGATGATGGCTCAAGTATTTGAGTCCCTGATTTCCATATGGGAGATTCAGATGTAGTTCTTGTTCTTGGCTTCAGCCTAGTCCAGCTCCTGTTGTTGTCAGCATTTGAAGAATGAGCCAGTGAATGGAAGATCTGTCTGTGTGTCACTCTGTCTTTCAAATAAATCAATATTTAAAATAAATAAAATTTAGAATCAGCTGTAAAGTTTGAAAAATTGTTGAGGTTTCATTGAAAATTATGAAATCTATAAGGAGATATGCATTAAGTATTAAATTAATAATAATTTTTTAAAAAGATTTATTTATTTATTTGAAAGGCAGAGTTACAGAGAGAGGCAAAAAGAGAGAGAGAGAGAAAGAGAGAGATGGGGAGAGAGAGAGAGAGAACTCCTATCCACTGGTTCACCCTCCAAATGGCTGCAACATCCACAACTGGGCTGGTCTGAAGCCAGAAGCTAGGAGCTTTTTCCAGGTTTCCCATGTGGGTGCAGGGGCCAAGGACTTGGGCTGTCTTCTGCTATTTTCTCAGGCCATGGCAGAGAGTTGGATCAGAAGTGGAGCACCTGGGACTCGAACTGGCGCCCGTATTGGATGCCGGCCCTGCAGGCTGAGGCTTTACCATTATGCCACAGTGCCGGCTCCTAAATATAATTATTGATGAACCATGGTAATATTGTTTTCTTGAAGGTTAGTTTTCCTAACATTAATAGAGTGATTTCAGCTTGTTTTATGTCAAACAAGCATTCTTTTTCATTCTGTGTTTTTATAATTAAAGTGAGCATTTTTAAGATTATATTCATTTTCCTGTTTGAAATTTAAATTAGATATTTTAATATATCTAATTATGAAACATATACTGAATATTTTAATTGGGATATGTAGGACATTTCTTCAAATGATATTAATATGATTATGTTTATGTTTAACATCTTACTATTTCTTCCATCTGTTCTTTGTAACATTTTCCTGTTTTCCCTTCCTTTTTATTTATTTATTTATTCATTTTTGACAGGCAGAGTTAGACAGAGAGAGAGAGAGACAGAGAGAAAGGTCTTCCTTCTGTTGGTTCACCCCCCAAAATGGCCACTACGGCCGGCGCTGCGCCTCCAAAGCCAGGAGCCAGGTGCTTCCTCCTGGTCTCCCTATGCGGGTGCATGGCCCAAGTGCACGTGGGCCATCCTCTACTGCCTTCCTGGGCCACAGCAGAGAGCTGGACTGGAAGAGGAGCAACCGGGACAGAACCGGCACTCTAACCTGGACTGGAACCTGGAGTGCCGGTGCCGCAGGTGGAAGATTAGCCTAGTGAGCTGCGGCGCCGGCCCCTTTCTTTTTATTAATACAGTGTTATACATGATTGTATTTTATTTTCATCATTGGACTTTTAATGATATATTTTATTTCATTATTTGTATACTTATTATTGAATTTACAGTAGGAATCTTTAACTTACAAGTACTATTTCACGTGTGATTTAGAACCTTCTAACATATTTCTATTTCTTTCCTTTTTTATTTTTTATTTATTTATTTTTTGACAGGCAGAGTTAGACAGTGAGAGAGACAGAGAGAGAGTTATAGACAGTGAGAGAGAGAGACAGAGAGAAAGGTCTTCCTTCTGTTGGTTCACTCCCCTAATGGCCGCCACAGCTGGCGCTGCGCGTTGATCTGAAGCCAGGAACCAAGTGCTTCCTCCCAGTCCCCCATGTGGGTGCAGGGACCCAAGCACTTGGGCCATCCTCCACTGCCTTCCCAGGCCACAGCAGAGAGCTGGACTGGAAGAGGAGCAACTGGGACAGAATCCATGGCTCCAACTGGGATTAGAACCCGGGGTGCTGGGGCTGCAGGCGAATGATTAGCCAAGTGAGCCATGGCGCCCATCTATTTCTTTCTTTTTGTCTTTAGACTTACACAAAGTTTAAATTAAGATTTATGATATGACTTGGAGTCATTTTTTTGCTAACCATTTGGATAGGCATGCTCGCATGGACACCAGGTATGCTGAAAGCCCCCAAAGTGCTTGCTTGAGAATGTGGAACATATTTCAGTGGAGAATGAATATAATGGAGCAAGGGATTATATGTGGGAAAGTCTAATGACTAAAACAGATACAAAGTACAAAATGAAATGAAGGAGATCAGCATTGTTTATGGTGGTTAGGAAAAGTTTCCTTAAAGGGATGAAGCTCAAATAGAGAGCTGTTGAAAAAAGGGTGGTATTAACTGAACACATGAGCAAGATGGTGATTCCGGGACACAGTAGAACTGGTCAAGTGAAAATGATTTTTCACCAGCAGCAAAGTGTAAGCTGCAAACAGTAGAACATAAATTTGGGGATATTGGCACAATAATTTTGTAAAATTAAGCACCGTATTTCTTCCAAGATGCTATCTCATTGTTTAATTTTACTTTTATAGCTTTGTATGGTAATGCTATTTCATCTTACTCTGTTAGCTAACTTACTTTTTTACACAGCTTTCCAAAAGCATCATTACTTTATAATGTGTCTAATAACTGTGTTGGTTAATGAATTATGGAAGTGGGGATGGCAGAGCTGGGAGGCAAAGAATTTAATAAGGGATGCAGTAATAATGAATCTAGTAGTGACTGCCACTTTAGGTCTTAAGAAAACTTTGCTTGAAAAGGAAGATCAAATATTTCCAAGTTTCATTCCCTCTTTTCTTAGTCTGTCCCCTCCACTGCATCTTAGATTTGCCTTTCTTTTAAATACATCTCTACTTTATCTCTCATGTCACAACCTGTGCTACCTCTTAAACTGTAATTACCATTTCAGTGACACACGCAGTGACCTCACTCCCTTGTGGTTGCGTGCAGTGGGGTGTGGGGGTGTCTATCACCTCTTTGATGGGATTGTCTGAGTGGCTCTTCCTTCACTTTTTCATGTTATTTCTCATGGGGTCCATTTATCAAAAGGATAACTCTCATTGATGTGTGGAGATCGTGTTTCAGTCAACAGTATGTAAACAAGCTTGCTATATGATTGCCAGTGGCATTTTAATTCACTCTTTTTCCCACATCTCAAGCAGTAAACAACCAGTGCTGTTCCCAACTCTACTTCTGTATCCATTGCTGCTATCACTGTTGGCTATTTTGCTCAGCATTATCTCTATGCTGTTTTAAGTTTTACCAAAATCCTGCATTATTTTCCTAATTCTATACAAGTATGCTGTTTGTCACACAGATTATGTAATTTGGCCAAGGTTAGTGCCTTAAAAAGTTAGGAATTAAACCCAACTGTACAGCTAAAGTTCTTTGAACCATCACAACCAGCCCACTAAGTTTACATTGGCTTACACTGGATATCTACAGTGCCTGTATCTGTAAACCTATTGTCCATATAAGAACATTTTTTGTCAATGTTTTTACTTTTATTTACTTTCCTGTTCTCTTAATTTCTTTTTTACTCCCATGACCTCTTTATGGTATAGAGCCACTGCAGTCACACCATGTCAATTTTATTCCACAGATGTTTCAGTACTATTTAACACCACATTCAATGTGAAGTCATCTTATGGTAATGAAAATTGGCAATTCAGTAGCTTAATGTACTTAGAAGTGGCGGATAACTGCAAATCTGGTGTAGGCCTTTTCTTGGAGGCTGGAGTGTGTGACAATTCATGACAGCACAGCACACTTACTGTGAAGATAACCATATTAAATATTTCTTCATCAAAAAATCTCCAATAGTGTCTACTCTCAGGTTATGCTATATTATGTTTCTTATAAAAATTACAGAAAATCTGCTGCAATTGTTGGCTTTAATTATTCTATACTTTCCTCAGTCTACTTCCTATTCCATACTTCAAATCAAATTCATTTTCTGTGACTCCGAAACTCTTGGATTTTCATTTCTCTTCATCTTGTTGGAATTTTTATCCTTCCTCCCTCAAATGAGTAGATGTTGTTGGTTGTCCCTTTTATTCCTTGAGATAGGGTTGCAAGCTTGTCTTTATTTCTCAACAAGTGGGTGAATCTTGACCAAGTTTAGCCAATCACAGATAATTCCATTACCTTTGAGAGTGAACAGTTTAATCATAGACAGTTAATGCAATTTTGGCAGAGAAAGGGGGAGAGGTCTATTGAATGTCTTTTGGAAAACTTCTTCTTACTGGTAAATATTCCTACTGGAGGAAATATTTCTTTTTGCTTCTATAACTCAAAAATTTTTTTGCAACTCCTAGGATGTATGAGACTGCAGTAGCTTTCTTGAAATGATGTAAAACAATCCTAAGTCTGGATGAAAATAGATTGACAATGGAATGTGAAATACAGGAAAAAATCCTGTATCCCTTGTAAGGATTTTTAGATATGCTAGATAATAATACTACCAGTATTTAATTTATTGATGTTTATAAGATATCAAACTTTGAAAAGTGGTTAATTCTTATTATTGCTTTTTTCATTTTTGTTTTTCACAACAGCACTTGTCAGATATTGAGAAACCAATGAGTGAATGAAGAGGAGTCTCATGGAGTTGGAAGAGGTGAGAAAATATTTTATAAATTGTTAGGATACGGATATCAACAACTGTTTTTTCGTGTTCTCTCAATGTTGTTTTTAATTAATGTATCACTATTCGATTGATCTAATTATTCTAGCCTTTAGAAATCTCTGGTAAGGAAACATAGTGATAAAATTTTTTGCTGAGTTCAAAGTCTTCCATGAAGTTCTTTAGACTATTGTCCTCATCAATTCAGCCAAATTTGCTTTTTCAGAAGACTTTATTGCAAGGAGCGGATTGAAGTACTGATTTATATGGACATTTGTGACAGAATTCCGGATTCAGACTTAGGTTACTTTGAGAAAGATAAATGAGGATGATATATATAAGACTCATTGACTCACAGAAAGTAATAAACTGATTTGCTAACTCCTGTAATCATGTCAGTACATGAGAAATGTGAAATAAATCACAATAGCTAAATAAATAATTAAAATCACTAGCAGATGTACTTTATTCTTCTGGCCTCTAGTACTGTTTTCAAGGCCTAACCAACATTAGTTGATATCCTCCACTGCTTTTTGGAACTATATCTATTTTGGTTCTCATTCTTCCAAATGATTGAATTTGCAGACAAATTAGAAAATACTCTATTAAAATGCAAAAGCATCTCAATATGAGTTAGAAGACCTGGATTCTGGACCCAGGGCCAAGACTGACTGTGTAACTATACCATGTTAGGCAAATTTACTTAATCCATTTTCTCAAAGATTTAATCAAAGCCAAATTGAATTGAGTTTTGTAAAAAGCCACAGAATCCATGCTGCTGTCTATTGGTAAAGAGTCAATAAATTGACTATAAATTAAAACTTGTCTTACTTACCATATTATATAAACCTAACACTATTTCTTCACCATACACCATGAAGGTCCTTGCCTTTCAACTAATAATACACAAGGTTAGATGGTCAAGATGGGTCTGGACCTCTGGGAATGAGTAGCTCTTTGTCCCTCATGGACAGATGGCATTGTACTTGTTATGCCTAAACTTCGAACAGCTGTGTTTATTGGCCTTGTTGCATATCAACTTGTTATGGATACTCATGCCAGAAACTGTTGAGATGGGTCCATGATACTGAATAAGTGCACACATATAATTAATGAATCTGCTAATGACAGTGAACCATAAAACTGCTTATTTGCTCCATGCCATTTCTTGGCTAAATGCTGACTTTGAAGATGGCTTCAGATTCAAGTTTCTGCCCTGCCTCCCCAGAGCTGATTTATATTCTGTTGTCAAGTGATAGTTTTATGAGATTTAATTATGTTTTCTAGAGAAATAAGTCTGCATTGACACACTTGAAAACTTTTATGTCACACCTGTGTTCTGGATCTCTTGCATAAAAATCAAACCTGCATGTGCTTTTTTTTTTATTTATTGACAATGCTTTCATTGGTCCTCTTTTGACAACTCATATGTGAAGGATTTACTCTCAAGGTCGTACAACAGTATTTTGTTTTTAAGGATAATACAAACCTGTTTAATTATCAAAAATGTGAGACTTAGAAAACCAAGGAGGAGAGAACAGAATGAAGAAGAGAGAAAGGACAGAGAAAATATAACAACAAAGGAAATTTGTCTTGCAGGAAAATATTGAGAATAATTTACTTTATAAAAGTTAGCAGAAAATTGTGTCCTACAGTTTTTCTTTTTATTTATTGTGGTCTTGCTGTTAGGTTTGTGAGGTCAGAAAAGTTCACTTGCTGAATTCAAGAATTCAAGGTCAAAGAAATGCTAAAATGTTCAACAAATTTTCAAGAGTCAGAATACAGGGCATTTTTTTTTTTTTAGTTACACAACTGCTTCTGAGACTCTTTCTTCTTTTTTTCAGATTTTATTTATTTGAGAGGAAGAGTTACAGAGAGAAAAAGAGAGAGAGAGAGGGAGAGAGAGATTGTTCATCTGCTGATTACTCTCAAAATGGTGGCCAAGGCTGGAGCTGGGCTGCTCTGAAGCCAGGAGCCAGGAGCTTCTTCCAGGTCTCCCATGTAGGTACAGGCGCCCAAGCACTTGGGTCATCTTCTACCACTTTCCCAGGCCATAGCAGAGAGCTGGATCAGAAGAGGAACAGCTGGGACATGAACCGTTGTCCATATGGGATGCCAGCACCGCAGGCTGAAGCTTAGCCTACTATGCTACAACAGCACCGTTCTGAGACTCTGTTCTTCAACATTCACCAAACACCTATGATTGCAGCAAAGATAAAGTGAGGTAGTACCTGCTGAGAGGAGAGACTGTTTTCTTAATGTTGTTGAAGCCAATTATTGCTTGGAAGTTGGAATGGACAGAGTTTCATTGAAAGGATGTTATTGCAGCCTGTGCTGTTGCCTAGTGGAGTAAGCCTCTGTCTGCAGTACTGGAATTCCATATGGGAGCTGGTTCATGTCCTGGCTGCTCCTCTTCTTATCCAGCTCTCTGATGTGGCCTGGGAAAACAGTGGAAGATGGCCCACGTGTTTGGGTCTCTGCACTCTCGTGGGATACCCGGAAGAAGATCCTGGTTCCTGACTTCATGTTGGCAGAATTTCAGCTGTTAAGGCCATCTGGGGAGTGAACAAGCAGATGGAAGACCTCTCTCTCTCTCTTCCTCTGACTCTCTGTCACTCTACCTCTCAAATAAATAAATAAATAAAATCTTTATATAAAATGTTGTCAGAGGTGTCTTCATTAAAGCACAGAATGCTAGAGTAGGGGTGTGGATCTAGGTAATTCTAGCCTATCCTACTACTATTGTAAACCAGAAAATTGAGGACTTTTCAAGATCACCTAAAAAATTAGGGTCAAAGTTACTAAGTCACTAGGGAGAGAAAACACAAGGACATGGGTGTGTGGATTCTGGAGCTATATTTTGAACTAAAACATGATTTTGCCACCCACTGGTCTTATGTCCTTTGTTTTTTTTTAAACTTTTATTTAATGAATATAAATTTCCAAAGTACAGCTTATGGATTACAATGGCTTCCCCCCCATAACGTCCCTCCCACCCGCAACCCTCCCCTTTCCCTCTCCCTCTCCCCTTCCATTCACATCAAGATTCATTTTCGTTTCTCTTTATATACAGAATGTCCTTTGACAAGTCACCTAAATTCCTTAGAACTCATATTTCAGGCAAATAAAATGGAGGTATTACCTACCCTATGGTTTGCTTTACTTACCCAATAAGGTATTTGTATGTGATAATGTATGTAAAGTTTAAAAATCTATGTGTAGTAAATAAATGTGCACTTGGGCAATACCTAGAAAATTCTCAGTGAATATCAACTACTATGAGTTATTATTGCAGCAGCTGGAATTTCACATGTAATCAAATGCTGATGACAGCAGAGGACACTAGGATATCAAGAGCATGTGATGTTCTGTGAGAAGCTTATAATGCATCCAACAGTCAAGGATTAATGTCTGAATAGTAAGGCAACAATGGAAGGCAGTAACGTAAGTGGGTTATTCGTAAGAACTTCTCTTTGAGGTGAGGCAAGTAGGGCAATTTGGAACAGTGCAGTTGTAGAGAGGCAAGTGGCCTCCAAGGATTTTTCTTTCAAAGGCTGAGATCTCTAGCAAAATGTCCTACAAGCAGCAGGTGATTAGCATGAGCACTGGAGACAGAGTATCACAAAAAATCCAAATGAACATGAAAACATCACAGGAAAAAGACCTGGAGTGAGCTGTCTGCTGGATAAAAGGCAGCTTTTTGATGGCGCTCGTTAAATGAGAACATTTTTATTCTCGCTGCTTTTCTTTCTCCTTTCCTCTGACCTTAAAGGAAGGAGTCAGAAGAAGCAGCTGGTCTGAGAGGGTTAAAAACGAGGAAGAAAAAGAAACTTGCCCACAATCTCTATCCTGAAGACAAAAGCTGCGTCTTGAGTAAGACTCAGCCTGGGAAAAGTGTGAGGATGTCCTGTTTTTGATCGAAGCATATAATTAGGCTGGATAATTTTAATTAAGAATTAGAATGTGACTTCAACTCATGATAGATTTGTTATTACTATAGAGTATTAGAGATGTCACAGGTCGGGGAAAGGAAGAGCTAACTAAGTTTTCATCTGATGGCAAAGGAATGTGACTGTCACTGACTACCACTGAAGGAAGAGCAAGAGATAAAAATGAGGTTGCTTTGGGGCTGGTGCTATGATGCAGTAGGTTAATCCTCCACCTGCGGCGCCGGCATCCCATATGGGTGCTGGTTCTAGTCCTGGTTGCTCCTCTTCCACTCCAGCTCTCTGCTATGGCCTGGGAAAACAGTGGAAGATGGCCCAAGTCCTTGGGCCCCTGCACCCACGTGGGTGACCAGGAAGAAGCTCCTGGCTCCTGGCTTTGGATCGGTGCAGCTCCGGCCTTCGCAGCCATTTGGGGAGTGAACCAGCAGATGGAAGACCTCTCTCTGTCTCTCTGTCTGTCTGTAACTCGAACTCACAAATACAATAAATAAAATCTCTTAAAAAAAATGAAGTTGCTTCGTGATCATCTTACATCCTGTGTTATCAAGGCATCTTTTAACCTTTAGGCCCAAGTTGCCATCAGCTGCTAAATTATTCCAGATGGTTTTGTCACCTGATACTCTCATAGTCAAAAAGCCTATTATTCTATTAATTCATTTTTAGAATAAGGCAAGGAAATCATCTATATCTACCTAAATACATAGATACATATTTATATACCTGTCTGGTACAATTCTCTGTACCCTTCTGCATTCACTTCTCCATGCATATAATCTCCAGATTATATGCATGCATCAATCCTGAATTTTGGGTAAATGAAATAGTCCAGAGGATCTCTTAGTAAGTGAAACAATGTAACAAGAAGACAGAAGTTTCTAGCAGTTATGAGAGAAATGAACTAGAGTGTAAGCTTTGGAGTGATGGAATAAGGATCTCAGTGAACTTCCTCTTTCTCAAAAACAACACAAATATGAGTAAAGTAACTAAAAAGCAAACACTTCAGAAACCTGATAATAACCAGAGCCACAGAACTGACTGAAAATTATA